AGCCACAGAGAGCACCCCCAGAGCTCTGCCTGCCTTCACCCCACGACACGGGCTCCCTGCCCCCCTCCTGCTCAGCCGGGTGGCTCCTCATGTGGCCTGCAGCACCTGTGACATCAGGAGCCGCGCTGAGGCGAGGGCAGCGTGGCCAGGTTCCTGGCCATGCCCATTGGGTTTAGGGCTGGAGCTCTGTCCCTGGGAAGGGACAGGAACCCTGGGCATGGCTTGATTCTGTGTCCTGCCACACAACGTGGGTGGGCTGCTGAGCTGCTCGCTGCGTGTCACAGGGGCCTCCCACCAGCTCTGCATTCGGCTGACGGGGGGCGAGCAGGCAGCGCTGCTGTGCGAGGCCGTGTCCTGGTGGCTGGAGAGGCTGCCATTTCAACAAACCCCACTCCCTCCTCTGAGGCAGAGCAAAGAGCAGTGAGCGTGTTAAAGGGGCATCCCTCTGGCCACCTGACTGCTTCTTCCTGTCTGTCTCTGACTCAGCCGCCGGGCACCCGCCCCCCAGCCCCGGGTGGGAGCCTGAGTGGGGAGGAGGCCATGGCGTGTGGCAGGCAGCTGAGAGGAGCGCGGGTGGGAAGCAGCTGTCCACAGCTCTTGACAAAATCCTCTTTCCTTCCTTCCCGCCTCCCTCCTTCCCGCCTCCAAGCATCTACAATCTGGCGCACCCTTGGCTCCCAGACTCGCCGGAGGGACGGACATGGTGGGCGGCCTCCGCTGGACAAGTGGGACCACCTGCCGGACCCCTGCTTGACTTTCCGGAGCCCCTGCTCTCCTGGGGCGCCGCCTTCAGGCCGGGGAGGGAAGAGCCTCTTTGCAGACCCTGCGGCCTGGCCAGCCGGCTTCCCATGCGTTATACACAGAGTTGGCTCACGCTGCCTTTCCCACAGACGCTGCCTCCCTCCACGCGGCCAGAAGTTCTTCCACAGCCTGGGACTGAGAGCTGGGCCCCGGCCGTTTCCTCCACATTCCAGCTGGCCCACCTCCCTCTGCAGCCCAAGGGCCCTGCCCCGCAGCCTGCCCTCCGGTGACATCGGAGCAGACTTTCTTGTGCTGTCGCGGGTGGGGAGGACTTGACAAACACTAGGACCTAACACTGTCTCCTTGCTGGAACCAGAGGCCATAGCACCGAAATGCAGCGTGGGCCCTGGCTGAGGCTCCCGCAGCCCACGGTGGCAGTGCCCGCGCTGGCCGCCATCTCAAAGCCATTCCCCAGCCATCGCTCCCGGGCACCGCCATCGTCTAGACAGCTGGCCCCTCCCCCTCACGCCTGGGGGTTTCTTTTGATTTCGAGAGCAGCCTTAACATTTCAGTTGGTTTACGTGTATACCTCATGAACATCTTTGGTTTCTCCTTCTCCCTCTGCCTCTCCTTTGCTCACCCCTTGACTCCCCTCCCTCCACCCCTCCGTGACTGACGGTTTGGTCCCTCGCTGCTCAGTCCCTGCTCAGCACAGGGGGAGGCTGACTCCGAAGCAATAGTGGGCAGCAGGCCGCCCAGAGCACACCCGGGGCGAGGCCTTGGGAGCCCGCCGCCTGTTTACTGTGCAATCCAGTCCTTCTTAAGCCATCACAGGGCGGCTCGCGGCAGAGGCCAGGCTTCTGGCGGGGCGGACCCAGCGCCCTGGACTGGGGAGTGGGGCTCCCTCCACCCACCTGGTGGACTGGGCGGCCGCCCTCCCAGGCCCTGCCCTCGGGGACTTTCTGTCTCTTGGGCACAGGCACAGTCTCATCTCTAACGTTCTATGCAATGAAATAGAAACCCTCAAAGACAACTGTTAATATTTAATAAATTCCGTGTTATGTATAAGAAGTTCATTGCAAACATGCAATTGAGAAACTGGATAGATACGCTCATATCAGACCCCTCCCGCCGCCGCTCCCCTGTGGCTCTGTCTGTGGCATGTTTGACCCGTGGCCGGGCGCTGACGCCGGCGAGTCGCTGCCCCGTGGAGCATGCACTCGCAGCCTCTATGCACGCTCTCACCCATTTTCAATGCCCGACCCTCTTGCTTGGAGTCCTTGTTGCCTCAGAACCTCCCCTTCAGGAGCGTCCGCTGCGTGTGCACGAGCGAGCAGGGGCCGCCGGGGTGCCGCCGGAGCTCGCCGAAACGGCAGGCGGGGGGCGTCTGGTGGACACGCGGTGAGGCCTGCTCAGGGGGGTGTGCGGGAGCATTCAGAAGGCTCCCCTCACCCAGCCTTGAGCCAGAGGCATCCGGCCACCCCTACCCTCGGGGGCAGAGCTGGGCTGTGTCTGTGGCCTGACAGGCCCAGGGCAGGGCCTGGCTGTGTCCTCGGCCCCGGGCCCTGGCTGTCTGCTCCAGGCCCCTCCCCTGTGGCTGGAGGCGCAGAGCTCTGTGAGCCAGGAGGTGGCTCCAGGGGTCAAAGGGTGCTCTTGGAGAGGGCAGCTGAAAAGGTCATCTCGGACCGAGCAGGTGTCCCCCTAGGCAGCGGCTGCAAGCCCAGTGTCTTGGGAGGCTTCTCATAGCAAACCTTAGGCCTTCTGCCTCTGTCTCCAGGACCTGCACTCCTGCCACCCTCATCGCTGCTCCCTGCCACTGAGCCAGGAGCCGGCGGGGTGGCTGCCGCCCCGGCCCGGCCCCTCCGCGCTCTGGTTTGCACCATGCATTTCTCAGGGTCCACATTTCCATGCTTCCCGTAAGGTCTACATGGCCCTTCAGAGAGGGATCCTGGCCGCTTCGGGGGGGATAGGAGGTGTCAACCTCTGTGTTGGGCCTGAGACCCTGGTCCTCCAGGATTTGGGCCTCACGCATCCCATGGCACTTGCCTCCTCTGAGACCAGGCCTGGGCTCCGGGCGGCGAACTGAGCAAGGGCTGAGGGGGGCCACCTCCATCACCTCTGACCGCCCAGGGCCAGCTGGGTACTGGGGGCCCACAGCAGCTCTCCTGCCACTGAAGCCGGGGGTGGGCAGGAGCAGGCAGGTGGCTGCAGGCGGCTCCATCAGACCCGGCCTCAGGCTCTGACATGCTAACTTTTCAGCAAATTTCCTTCTGGCAAGCCCTCCGAGTTTGAAAGGTCTGACATCTGTCCCTTCCATCCCCAGCGGACGCACAGGTCACACCTGTGCCTTCACTCCTGTGAAGGCGGCTGGAGCAGGCCCCGGCACAGGCGTCCTGGCCCTGTGGACGCTAAGCACTCGGGGCGGTGGGCAATGGGGAGCCCCGGGCATATCTCCAACAGGAAAGGGTCCCTAGGACGCCGTCCAGGCCTCTGCATACCGGCCGCCCAGCGTCAGGAGCAAGGGATTCATTTCACAGCGACACCCGCTCCCCGCCATCTGCTCCATCGGGGGAGCGAGGTCTCAGATGTGCTGAGGGCAGCATGGCAGCCTGGCCCCGCCCACCCTGTGTCCCCTCCCCCACTTTGTAAATAGGTGTCATCGTGGACTCGACAGGGTCAGAGTGACAGGCCCGGTCAACTGAACTTCCTCAGAGATGTCACCCGTCTCCCTGGGCACCCAGCCTGCCCCCCGAGAGCCGTGGAAGTGGTGACACCGTGCGTGCATGTAACCCGGTGTGAGTGGGTGTGTGTGTCCACCTCCAGCTCCTGACCCCGTCAGCCCCCTGCAGGCGCGGTGCCCTGGCTGCGGCCGCCCAGCCTCGCCCCTGCTGGCTGCCTCCCTCCTCCCCCACTCCTTCCCTTCAGTCCCCCCCCCCTTTCTTTCTCTCCTTCTTTATCTGAGGGGGGGGGGAGTGCTGTACAGTCACACAAACAAGTTTACAGTTGTAAGTGCAATGACCGAGCCCTCCACATGACCTTGTGAAGTGTGTGCGTCCTCCGTGCCCGTGAGAACTCGTGCTACTTCCGTGTCCCTCCCCTGTGCTGTGACGAGGTAACTGTGGCATCAGAATAAAGGACTTGATATCCACAACCTGCAGACTGTCTCGGGGTAGTTTCTGCCGGGGGAGGCTCAGCCAGAGGAGCACCCCCCCCCAGCTCGCGACAGTCCTGCCCGTGGAGAAGCGTGAAAGGGCAGAGCGCGCAGGTGCCAGCCAGGCAGGGCCAAGGCCACGCGCTGTTCACGTCGCAGCCCCCACTGAGGCGGCCCGGGCAGGTCCCAAGCTTGGCCATGGAGGTGGTGCCTCCTCTGCCTGTGCCCAGTGTCCAGGCTGCACAAACCGCTTTCTGGGCCCTGGTTCCAGGGAGCCGGGCGAGCAGGTGCTGCCCCCTGATGCCGCCAACAGGTCCTACACCCGCCTGCCTGGCTGTGTCTGCCCCAACCCCCAAACTCAGGGGCTGCCAGACCTCAGTCCTGCCCCAGAAGGAGGGGCTAACCTTACTGAAGGAGCCCAGCGTTGCTAGGCAACTTTAAGACCACAGATCAACAAAAAGAGGCTCACCCTGGCCTCTGGCCTTCCGCCCCTCCCCAGGTTAGCACCTTGATGCATGTCCTTGTTTGTATTTTTCTATTCTTTTTCATTTTATTTTTTAAAAATTATTTATTGATTTCAGAGAGGAAAGGAGAGAGAGAGAGAGACAGAAACATCAATGATGAGAATCATTGATTGGCTGCCTCCCGCATGCCCCCCACTGCGGATCGAGCCCGCAACCTGGGCCTGTGCCCCCGACTGGAATAGAACCCAGGTCCCTTCAGGGCAGGCCGATGCCCTGTCCACGGAGCCACGCCAGCTGGGACTCTTCCTTGTCATTTTACAACGAAGTTGGAAGGCGAGCTCCTCCCATTTGTTTCTGCATGTTCACCCAGGTACTTGGGTGGCCACCCCCGGTGCCCAACCTGCAGAGAGCTGAGGCTGGCCTTTCCAGCGGGTCCACTGCACAGTCCCGTGGACAGGCGCCGTGTCCCCACTTTCCTGGTACAAACACCGTGGAGGAACCTCGCAGTCGCCAACCTCCCACCCCACTGGCGGCCGGGCCACTCTTCCTGTCCGGGTCCTGCCTGGTTTGCTCGCAGTGCCAGCGGCCTCCAAACGTGAGGACTGTTTTTCCTGAAGAAGCTGATGTGGCTGATGGGGAAGGCGGGCGGATTGCGGCCAAAGGCAGGGCAGGGCACGGAGCCAGGGCCCTGGGGTGTGGGAGACCAGCCAGGCTCAGGGCACAAGGAGAAGGGACATCCCTGCTGGCCCAGCTGCTGCCCAGCCCCCCGCACCCCCCTTGGCCACCAGAGCCGCTGGGTCCTGGGCCACAGGCAGCTCTCCCGCTCTGGGTGAGCTGGACCCCACCAGGTCCCCTGCACCCAAGACCTTGGACTGCGGCCGGGAGGCAGGCGTCACTGAGTGGGGTGGGTGAGGGCTGAAGCGACCGATAGCTCGCGGGGCGGGCCTGGTGTCTGATAACGACACCCCGAGGGCTCAGCAGCCCGCCCTTTGGCCCGCACCCCAGCGCTCTGCACCCCAGCGCTCTGAGAGCCCCGCCCAGGCCAGGCCTGGCGCTGTCCGGGAAGG